TCTCTGGGCTTTGGTCATATTTTCTGGGAAATTAAAGAATTAAGTTTCATGCTGGGCATGGTGACCCAAGCCTGTAATCCCACTCTGGAAGGCTGGGCAGGCAGACTGTGAGTTCAAGCCCAGCCTGGGCCACTTCGTACAAAATAAAAAATAGAAAGGGCTGAGGATGTAGCTAAGTGAGAAGGTCCTGGGTTCAATCCCCAGGGCCACGCATACAAAACACAAACCAAAAACAAGAAAAGAACTAGGCACCATCATCTCTTAGAGCACTCTCAATTTCTTGATTCTATGACTCTATAGCTATATATATAAATTGTGTCTACCTGCGCACGCACGCGCGCGCATGTGTGTGTGTGTGTGTGTGTGTGCATATTAGGGGACAGACAGAACCCCAGGCCCAGTACAGGATCTGTGGGAAACATCAGGGCTCATGTTTTCTGGCTTTTCAGAAGGTTTTTATTGTTATCTTCATTAATAATAAATAAAATTTAATGGAATACCTATTGTACACAAGATATTGCTAAAAATGCATTATTTCATTTATTCATTCATTTCAGCAATGTTAAGGTTCTCATTTTACAGATGAAGGAAATAAAACTAAGAAAGGCCCAATATCACCTGGTATCACTCTGTTAGTATGGAGAGCAACCACGGTGTGAACCTAGATCTGTCTGGAGAGCTTTATTTTATTTTTATTTATTTATTTACTCATTTATTTTTGAGGCAGAGTCTCACCATATAGTTCAAGTGGCCCTTGATCTCCCTATGTAGCCCAGGGAGGCCTTGAACTCCCAGTGATCTTGCTGCCTCAGCCTCTGAAATGCTGGGATCACAGGTGTGTGCCACTACACCTGGCTTTAGTAGAGGTTTATTTGGGCTGGGGGGGGGGGGTGTCTGAGGATTGAGCCCGGATCTTTCACACTGAGTTACATCCCCTAACCCATTTAATTATTTTTTTTAATTAAAAAAATTTTTGTTCACTTTTGAGTTTTGCTAAGTTGCCAGCTTGCAATTCAGGCTTCCAAGGTGCTGAGCCTACAAGTGTGTGCCACTACTACATCCAGCTTATTTTTATTCTGAGAGAGGGTCTCATGAAGTCACAAAGTTTCTCAGGCTGAGGTTGAAGTTGTGATCCTCCTGCCTCGGCCTTTCAGAGTGCTGAGATCATGGGTGTGTGCCACCAAGCCGGACAGAATCCATTCTTTTAACCTATGGCACCACTGCCTGGAGGTCAGATGCAGCAGGGACTGGCCGGTCTCTGACAGAGGCCCAGTGTGGAAAGTGGTCAGGTTCTCTTCAGCATAGGAGAGCAGAGCTCGACTGCAGACAGCCTAATCCCCTCAAACAGGCCCTGGCTCCCCAGGGGGGGGTTCTTGCTGGGCCTGACCCTGCCTCACTCACATTTACCTGCTGGCTGCTGTATGAAGACTGTGGCGTTCTGCTCTGTGATTCGTTTCAGCCCTGCCATGTGCTGGACCTTCCCATTTCCCACTGGGTGCCAAGAGAGCGGAGCAGGATATAGAGAGTGAGGCTTTGTCAAGCACACATACAGGAACACAGTGCAGGGGCCAGGGATTTAGCTCAGTGGTTCTGCTGCCTGCCTCACAAGCACAAGGACTAGAGTTCAATCCCCGGTACCGCCACCCCCCAAAAAAGAACACAGTGCAAGTCTCCAAGGCCTGATGGACTGAGCTCGTAAAGATGCTACGAGCCACTTATAGATTCAGTTTATTACTCACACACATGGCAAAGGGAAGAATGCACAAAGGTCTCAGTTGCCTTTGGTTCTTGTCCTCCCTGAAAAAAGACAAAGCCACAATAAAAGGGGCCAGATGACTGCAAAGTGGGTTGTAGGATTCCCCCATGGATAAACAGCCAATTCTAGATTCCAACGGAAATGGCAAGGAGAGCAGAAGTGTCTCATGACAGCCTTCCAGGGAGACTGCTTGAGGTCCTCATCAGCCTGGTCCTCTCCTGTTCTGGGAAGATCATAGCTCATCCTGCTAAGACTCAGACCAGCTTTGGTCCAAGCCTTCGCCCATGGTGCCAACACATCACCTTTCAACATTCTCAGTTTGGTTTGAGGAGGTTTGTTTTTGTGCTTGAGGATCGAACCCAGGGCCTCACACATGCTAAGTGCATGCTCTACCACTGAGCTACCCTGTCCTAAGCCCAGTTTGAGGGTTTGTTGGTTTTCTTTTTCTTTTTCTTAAGATGGTCTTGCTATTTCAGACAGCTGAGTTATATAGAAATGTGGCAGGCAGTCAGATAGGGCTAGGTCCTTGAGAGAGTCAAGACAAAAGTGAAACACACAACAGCTGCGGCCTGAGACGTATCAGTTGGAAACCTGGGGTCAAGATAAAGACAAGACGGTCAAAACCACATACTTCCTCAAAGAACAAACACTGGGCCTGATGAATCCTAGATAGATGTCAGTCATCCCAGCGGGTGACCAGGGACTCTGGACCCACCACTTCATAGGAGAATCTTTGTTCTTTCCATCCATGCTTGTTATGTGACTTGTTGCCCAATTGGACCACCATTACCTAAGCGTATACTTGTAACCTTATTGGTTGTTCATGGCTGTAGCTCACATTGCAACCACTTGGTTTTGCTCTATAAAACTCCTCTGTAGGGCTGGGGATTTAGCTCAGTGGCACTGCACTTACCTCGCAAGTACAAGGTCCTGAGTTCTATCTCCAGTACTGCAAAAACCAAAAACAACAACAAAAACTGTAAAGTGGGGTGCCTGGCTACCCTCTCGGGTCCCCTCCTGCCCCTCAGGAGCTTTCCTATCAATAAATACCTTCCTCTGCTGCCTGCCTCGAAAGCCCAAGGACCTGAGTTCGATCCCCGGTACCAAGAAAAACAAAAATCTTCCTGCTCTTAACCTCTATTGTTCCTACAATTCATTCTTCGATTTTTAGAGAACAAGAAGTTAGCATATCATACAGCTAACAGGTTGGAAGATATATTTCATATTTCATTTCCAGTACTACTTCCTGTATCATTGCTTTGTAATTCAGGTTGGCCTTGAACTGACTGTGCAGCCCAGGCTGGCCAGGAACTTATGGTGATCCTCGTGCCTCAACCTCCTGAGTGCTGGGATTACAGGCATGTGCCACCATGCCTGGCTTGTTTGAAGGTTTTTAAAGCCTGCTGTAAGGCCAGGGATTTAGCTCAGTGGTTTCGCCGCCTGCTACGCAAGCACAAGGACCTGAGTTCAATCCCTGGTACCAAAAAAAAAAAAAAAAAAAGCCTGCTTAGAGGGAGAAAATAAAAACCAAGAAGCCTGAATCCAAATACCAGTCCATAATTAGCTGTATGATTTAATCAAGCCTTTTACCTCTCTTGGACTCTTTAAAAATCTATGAAATCATTTGATTTTTATTTTGTTTGCTTTTCAGGGGGACGGCTCTATTTTATTAGGATGTGAACTGCACTAAGCCAAGGATGCTGTCCTTTTCTCTCACTATCTGTATCCCTAGTGCTTGGAACAGTGACAGCACAGGGTGGAGATTCAGAACTCACGTGGGTGAATGAAACGAGGCATGGCGCTCTCACTGTGTTTTGTACAGAAAGCCTTAAAATCTGCTCTCGGGTCATGACACATTCGCAGGGGCTGCCCAGAGAAAATGACTGACTGTTCTTTCAAGTTCAGCTCTAAAAAGCCTGCAGGAAGGCTCACTAAACCACAGAGTGAATAACGACATCCTGTGAGGCAGAACACGGTACCCAAATGGATCTTTTATTAGTGCTATTAAAATAAATCCCAGTGACACAGAGCTGTGACGCACGCTCTTTGTAATAATAGAAAACAGGGGAGGGCTAGCTTTTCCACCGTTTTTTTCCACACCTACTACTTCTCCAGTCACCTCCTTAGACTCTTTCTCCTTCTCTTCACCAATGCATAGGGCAGACTAGGAAAGAAATTGGTCAAGGGACTTGTTTCTGATTCTGACTGTAACAAGTCACCCTGAGCCCTCCTTTTTGTCATTTTTCTGTGTTTTCTTTAACTGCAATTGAGAATGACTATGTGTATGTGTGTGTGTGTGTGTGTGTGTGTGTGTGTGTGCTGGGGATTGAACCCACAATCTTTACATTAAACTACACCCCCAGCTTTTTAAATTTTTATTTCTTTGAGTCAGGGCCTTGCTAAATCACCATGTACCCCAGGCTGGTCTTGACTTAGTGATCCTCCTGCCTCAGCCTCCCAGAGTGCAGGGATTATAGGTATGCATCACTATGCTGGACTGTTACATCCCTTTTACAAATAGAGGTACCATGGCCCAAAGAGACCGCCATACTGAAGATCACATATACAGATGGGTTTCTTTCAGCCACTGCTATGTGGTACTCAGGACCCCAAGGTTGTAGTCCCTTTTATCTCTAGATCTTTCCCACGAAGGAACAAGCATTTTTGCCTGGTTTTGTCCCCTGCTGTATCCCAGCCTCTACAGTTCAGCCTGAATTATTACATCGACAAGGATTTTTGGCTGCCTTCAGCAGGCACTCAATACACATATGTGGGGTTGTTTTTGTGTTTTTTTGTTACCGGGGATCGAACTCCGGTCCTTGCACTTGCGCAGCAGGCAGCGAAACCACTGAGCTAAATCCCTGGCCCTCAATACATATACGCTGAGTGGGGGAAAAAATGATTAGAACTGAGTGTGGTGGTGCACGCCTGTAACCCCAGCATTTGGGAAGGTGAGGCAGGAGGATCCCCACAAATTCGAACCTAGCCTGAGCTACACAGCAAGACTCTCACTCAAAAAAAAATTTTTTTTTAAATGAATGATTAGCGAGCGGCGCACCGCAACTCCTCCTGGGACTTTGAGGAAGTCTCGGCCCCTCCCCTGATTTCTTCTCTAGCCAGCTTCGGGTGGCCTTCCCGCGTCCCCGTCTCTCCTCCCGCCAATAGGCGGCACTGGGGTGACCAGCGAAGCTCAGCAGGCAGCGGCATCCTTCTTGGTGCAGCTGCGCCTCCCCAACCGGAGGGCGGGGTTCGAGGAACCGGAAGTGCCGGGGCCCCTGCACCCGCCACCGCCTTAAAGTACCGAGTCCACCACCTTTAAGTATCACGTCCGCCGCTGGGGCCGCGGCCGGCGCCGCCGCCGAGGAAGCTGCTATATCCCGGACGGGAGCGAAGGCGGCGCGGCATGAAGCGGCGCAGGCCCGCTCCGTAGCGCGTCGGGACGGTCCGGGCGGGGCCGGGGGGAAGGTGCAGTATCCGCCCCCTCTCCTCGCCTCGTCCGCGAGGCCTGGGCCGCGGCCCCCGGGCCCTGTGGGTCTCCGAGCAGCTGCCCGCGCGTCCCCCGGCCGCCGGCTCCGCTGCTGCTCGCGCGGGGCCCGGCGTCGGCGCAGCCGCCCGGCCGGAAGAGGAAGCGGCGGCGGCGCGGCTCCTAGGCGGCAGCAACGTCCGCAGGCGCTGGTGCTGCCCCCCGGCTGCCGGGTCCGCGAGGTCCGACCCTCGCGGGGTGGGGCGGCCGCTACAGAGGGCATTCGGGCCCTGATTTCCTCCTCTCCCCGCTGATGTTCTCTTCACCCACTGCTTTACTCTAGGTGATTCCGTGCCTGTCACTGCCCGCTGCAGGACACTTTCCTGTCCAACCTCCCCAAGCGCTTTCTTCCCTAAGACTCGGTGTCCCTCCAGCCCCTTCTCAACGTTCTCTGCTGCCCCTCTCTCCCTCATTCACAGCTTTTTGAGATCTTCCCCTCTTTTTTCTTTCTTTCTTTCTTTCTTTCTTTCTTTTTTTGTAAGGCAGAATCTCCCTCTGTAGTTCAGGCTGGTCTTGAGCTCGGGGCAATCCTCCTGACCCAGCCTCCCAAATGCTGGGATTACAGCCGTGCGCCACCACACTGGGCCCAAGATCTTCATCCCACTCTGATTAAAATGAATTTCTGAACTGGCTGTGGACCCTGAAGCATGGAATGCCAGGCTTCAGTGAGGCGAAGGATGATTAAGAGTCCTTTAATTAAAAAATTGTGGAATGCTGTTGGAATGGGCCCAAACCCAAGAGTCCTGGAGCATTTTATATCCCGAAGTGCTTCTGACTGAGAGGCTTAGTGCCAAGGAATGGTGTCTTGCTGTCTTTGCCTGATTTTTGCCGTGCCGATACAGTCTCACTAATTTCCCTCTCCTTGCCACTTTTCTCACCACATCTCCATCACCTACTTGAACTGTGGGAACCCAGGAGTAAGACTGATAGCAAAGTAATAGGTGTGATGAAAGATTTTTCTAAAATAGAATTTCAGCAAGGTTAAAGAAGAGTTAACTACTTCAGTTATTCTCAGAGTATTGAAGCAAGAAAAAGAAGGCAGGAGAGATGCACTTAAAGTGAATAAATCAATAGAACTTTTTTTTTTTGAGACAGGGTCTCGGTGTGTAGTTCAGGCTGGCCTTGAACCCAGCTATGTACTGACGGCTGGCCTCACACTCCTGGTAATCCTCCTGCCTCGGTTGCCTGAGTGCTGGGATTACAGGCATGTACCACCACACCTGGCTAGATCATTATTTAATCAAAAATCTTAAAGTTTTAAATTCAAATTCTTGCCCTTACTGCAAGGATGGCCTGTCATTCTTGTTTCCCCTGAGTTGATTCTGTCTGTAAACAACTTGCTATAACATGATAAAAGACAGGAACGTGAGTATGCACAGAAATAAATGATAGCTACCATTTTTTTAAGTTTTTGCTGTAGATACTAACCTCATTTTGGGGTCGTATATCCTTTTGTATCTGTATGTCTTACGGTTTTTTGTTTTCTGTTACTGGGGACTGAACTCCAGACCTTGCGCTTTTGAGGCACGTGCCAGAACCACTGAGCTAAATCCCCAGCCCTTTTATGCTATTTTTTTTCAGTTCTGCAGATTGAACCCCAGGGCCTTTGCACTAATGTACATCTCTGGCCCCCTGCCTTTTTTTTTGTTGTTCCAGGGATTGAACTCAGGACCTTGTGCTTGCAGGTATTGTGCCACTGAGCTAAATCCTTGGCTAGGGCTTTTTTTATTTCTTATTTTGAACCAGGATTTCATTAAATCACTAAATTGACCAGATGTAGCTCAAACTTGGAGTCCTCCTTCCTAGGTCTTGCAGTGCTGTGTTTACAGGCATGCACCACCACATCTGGTTATCTGGCTTTTTAAAATTCTTTGGAGACAGGTGTCTCACTATATAGTTTAGGCTCACCTTGAACTCATTCTGTAGCCCATGCTGGCCTCGTGCTCACAGTGAACCTCTTGCCTCAGCCTCCCAAGTGCTGAGATTAAAGGTGTGCACACACACCCCCCCAGCTTGGTTTACTTTTTAAATCAAGCCCTTTCATGATTTTCCTCTTCATGTATGTCTAGGCTTAAAGACTTAATCTATGATTAGGGTGTTCTTTTGCGTAAATTGAGCTCTTCATCTCTGCAAAAACTTTTAGTATTTTGATAATGCAAATTGCAGATATAAAGGAATTTAGGTGACATATTACACCAGAAAGAATTCTATGTCAGTTGTAGGTATAGTTTGGGACTTTTTAGATGTAATCTTTTTTGACTACATATGGTCCATTTTACTGTAATGTTGATCATCTTACATCTTACATCTTATTTCATTATCTTGGTGAACAGGATTGGATGGTGAGAAAAGGACAGATTCCTGTGAGAAGAGAGCAGGATGAGCAGAACGATCCATACTTGAAGTTGGGTCCCTTGAAAATGATCTCTTTGAGTGTGGAAGAGATCTGAACAGATGAAAATACAATCAGGTAGGCATTGGGAAGGGTCGTAAGTGAAGAGTTGGGTGGGGCCATGAAATACATGCACTATGTTGACAATGTATGCTGACCCTAGAAAATTCAGGCTATATATTTTGAGTATTTGTATATGAGGTGTGAGCAAATTCTGGAAGATAATTCACGTATACACTTGGATAAGTCACATAGTATCAGATCTGTCCTAGAAAAGTCAGAATAAACTGACTAGATGTACAGAGTGGTAGACAGTGTGTGTGCATGTGCAGGGAGAAACAGTCCAGGGACCTAATGCGGTTGTGGAATACCAGATAGTTTTACTTAAATATAAACTAATGCAACTTTTACATAGTTAACTTATAAAGTGTGGCATTAAGGCTTAGGAAGTCTTTCAACTGGGATTCTCATTTCAAAAAAGAGGTTCTAAATTCACCAAAAGGAAATGAGCCTTTCTTCTTTTACTTGTCCCTCACTTCATTAGATAGAAAACTAGGTTCATTGTCACGTTTGGTAGAAAGTAGACCTCCACTAGCTCTTAGATGGGCAAGCACAGCATTACCTCAAACTGCCACTTAATCCCCATGTCCTGCATACCAGGTGAGCGACTTGATTCTCTGCTGAACTATTGTGGATTTTAATGTTGAAGATAAATATCCAACAGTGATAATATTGCAGCTATATCTCATGTAACTAATGAGTTTTCTAGCTGCCTTTGCAACTGTTACCTTGAAAATGGTAGCAAGAAGAGTGATACTTTGGGCACACAGTTCAGTCTATTTGCATGCTAGTAATGCACAATTCACAGGCCACACAAGCTAATAACTCTGTCTGTGAAAGTTACTTCTTACTGTGAGTTCATGTTAACCGCAAAATAGAGCTTTAAAAAAAGACATCATCTTAAGCATACACCCATATATCAATTTCTGTTCTAGAAGCTGATAATAATTATGTGAAATTTGGTTACAGAAGTGCAGTTTAGCTTATCTCCAAGTTCACACTTGTTTTCTACACCAGTTAGTTGAAAAAGAGCAGTTTTTTTCACTTTTTATGTTGCTGCTTTTTGGTAGTGTCATGAATTATGCATGTCAGAATCTCACATTTTATGACAACTTTTTATTTCATACTTTAAGTTATATTTAAATATTGGAAAAGATAAAGGAAAAATATGTCTACTAGATTTGTAAAGTACACATTAGTACATGAGAGTAATACTTAGGGGATTGAACTGATAAATTGGGTTCAAACTTTTATCAAAATATTGTTGATACAAACATTAAATACTTCAACTACTTCAGCTAATTAAAGCCACTTAGTGTCTTTTACTTTGAAACAGTGTAAGTTATATAATGAGCAATAATGGTCAAGCAAGTTTACTTCAATACTGAGTCACTGCAAGTGTTACATGATAATTATATCTAGTCAGAGAAAGACTCAGACATTTACCAGCCAGGTAAGTGTTTCATTGTTTGGAGTTATCTTTAAAAGGAAACAATTACACCCCCCCCGGGGGGGGGGGTAAGTGCCCTAGGAAGGTCATTACAAGTACATGGCTTGTGACAATGTTATTACTGTTCTACTTGGTTGAGATTATTCCTCTTAGCTAGGGAAATCACATTTGTCAAAGGTGCTACATTCCTAAATGCAGCAACACTTAACTCCATTGGCACATTGAGCTTCACTCTTGAGGCACTCTTAGCTGGAGCATAACAGCCAGCTGGCACACAGCCCATTTCCTTCCAGTGTGGGAAAGAAAAAAGAATTTTGGCAGGAGATACCTAAGGAGAGCCTTTTATAAAAATTCCCAAAAGGATTTCTAGTCACTGTGAAATTGACATGACCTCAGTTTTTTTTTTTTTATAACCTCAGTTTTTTAAAATGTCATTTTAAAAAATCATTTTTTTATTTTTTATTTTTTTGGTACCAGGGATCAAACTCGGGTCCTTGCACTTTCGAGGCAGGCGGCGGAACTACTGAGCTAAATCCCCGGCCCTGTTTATTTACTTTTGAGACAGGGTCTTGCTATGTAGTTCAGGCTGACTTTGAACTCACTACGTAGCCCAGTCTGGCCTCGAACTCATGGCAATCCTCTTGCCTCAGCCTCCCAAGTGCTGAGATTACAGAGGTATGCAACCATCCCTGACCTAAAATGTCATTTTTAAGCAGCGCAGAGAAGGGGGAGCTATTGGTTTCTTACTACATCTCACTGCAGCTGTGCTGGAAAGAATTTTTCTTGGTTTTGTTTTGTTTTTTGGCCTGTCAAACTACCCTCCTGACACTGTGGAAGACAGCCCTCTGAGCAGCTTCATGTGCCTTGTTTTCTAGGAAAATGCAACATGGCAGCAGCAATGGAGACAGAGCAGCTGGGTGTTGAGATATTTGAAACTGCAGAGTGTGAGGAGAATATTGAATCACAGGATCGGCCCAAATTGGAGCCATTTTATGTTGAGCGATATTCTTGGAGTCAGCTTAAAAAGCTGCTTGCGGATACCAGAAAATACCATGGCTACATGATGGCCAAGGCACCGCATGATTTTATGTTTGTGAAGAGGAACGATCCAGATGGGCCTCATTCAGACAGGATCTATTATCTTGGTGAGTATGAAGTTACAGTTTGTGTCTTTTCTTTTCTCTCTCTTTCTCTGCCTTTCTTTTCTTTCTTTCTTTCTTTCTTATTACAGTTTCTGAGAGGAAACATTTTCTGTAGTCAAACTTAAGGACAGATATAATTTGAACTCACATTTTGGTGAGTAAGCTGGGCAAGGTGGTGCCCACCTGTAATCCCATTTGTAATCCTAGCTACCAGAAAACCTGAGACAGGAGGATCACAAGTTTGAATCCAGCCTGGGCAATTTAGTGAGACCCTGTCTCCCAATAAAAAATGAAAAAAAAAGGGGACAGCACTGGGATTGTAACTCAGTGGCCCCTTGTTTGATCAATGGTATGGGACAGGTGGAGGGGGTGGTTGTTGAATAAATGAATGAATAAATGACTTATTTCCATTAAAAAAAATCTTTTTAACTTGAAGAGCTTCTGTTTAAGTGATGTTTTAATTTTGGTTTGTCTCATTAACTTTAGCAGATAACAAATGATGAATTTTTTGGTTTTTTTTTTTTTTTTGCTATTTTGAGACAGGGTTTCACTATGCAGTTCAGGCTGGTTTTGAACTCACTATGTAGCCTAGGCTGGTCTCGAACTCAAGATGATCCTCCTGCCTCAGCCTTTCCAGTGGTCAGATTACACATGGCCTCAAATTATGATTTGATCACGATCTTTTTTCAAAGTCAAGAATGCCAAAAATTGCTTCCTTCTACACCTAGTTTGAAATGTCTCTCCTTTGGAATGTCAAATTAGGGTAACAGACAAAACTATTAGTTCCCATTCTTAGTAGCCGCTGCCTTCTTTTTCTTTTTTTGGTGTCAGGAATTGAACCCAGGGCCTTACGCTTGCCAGGCAGGTGCTGTGCTGCTGGGTTATATCCCTGGCCCTGCTTTCATTTTCTTAAAGGCTGATTTTTATCTCTTTTTCCTCATTCATTACTCTGGATTTAGATTTTATAAATATGTGAATCCATTGCTTGACTTGTGTGTGCCTTGCACACATGTGCTGGGGACTGAACCCAGGGCCTTGCACATGCTGCGTGCGTGCTCCATCACCGAGTTGCATCTCCACCCCTGATGTACTGTTCTATTAAATTTTATTTTGTTTTGTTGTTTTTTTGGTACCGGGATCAAACTCAGGACCTTGTGCTTGCGAGGCAGACGCTAGAACCACTGAGCTAAATCCTTGGCCCTGTTCTGTTAAATTTTAAAAAATAAGTTTGTCCTCCTCTTCCAAAGCCATTTGCCATATAAATTTCGTTCATTTATTGTGTATGTGTGGATCTTTTTAGAGATAATGTTTTCGTGAGTCTATGTAATTATAGATTCATTCTTTTTTAACAGCTTCAGAATAGTATGTAATTGTGCCACGTTTGACTTAACCAGGCCTCTAGTAATGATCACTTAGGTTTTATCTGTTATTACCCTAAGAAGAGGTAGTATCACTATATTGGATCATTTTGCATGTATGTGAATATACAGTACCGATAGAACTAATTTCCAAGAGTGGAATTGCTTGGACAAAGGTTGTATATATTCTGAATTTTGATTTGTATTGCTGAAATTCCCCTTATAAAAAAGTTACTGGGCTTACAGCATCACAATTTTCTTAGAACATCTATTTCTCCATACCTACACTAATAGTAAGGGTTTTGATCTTTTACAATCTGATCAATGTACAGAAACCTCATCTTGTACCTCTAATTTTATTTCTCTTAGAGTTGAAGTTGAGCATCTTTTTGCATATTAAAAGCCATTGTATTCCCTTTCTGTGACTTATCTGTTTATAAATGTTTTATAGTATTGGTGATTGAATCCACAGCCTGTGCATGCCAGACAAGTGCTCTACCACTGAGCTACATCCCCAGCCCTTTTATTTTTTAAAATTTTGGTACTGAGGATTGAACTCAGGTCCTTGTGCTTGCGCAGCAGGTGGTGAAACCACTGAGCTAAATCCCCGGCCTATTTAAAAAAATTTTTTTTTGATATCAGGGATTGAACTCGGGTCCTTGCACTTGCGCAGCAGGCGACAGAAACCACTGAGCTAAATCCCTGGCCCTATTTTTTAAAATTTTGAGATAGAGTCTTGCTAAACTTGTCCAGGTTCACCTCAAACTTGGCAGCCCTCTTGCCTCAGCCTCTTGAGTAGCTGGGCTTGCAAACATGCACCAACACTACTGACAGTCTTTGCCTTTATAAAATTGAGTTGGGGGTCTTTCTCTCAGTGACTTGAAGCATTTTATATAATGCAGGAACTTATCCATTGTAGTATTTTTTCCTCTGAGCTTTATTTATTTATTTATTTATTTTTTGGTACTGGGGATCGAACTCAGGTCCTGGCGGTTGCGCAGCAGGCGGCAAAACCACTGAGCTAAATGCCTGGCCCTCTGAGCTTTACTTTTTGAGATGGGGTCTCGCTAAGTTTCCCAGGGCGGCCTGGAACTTACAGTCCTCCAAGTAGCCAGGATTACAGGCCCACACCACTATGCCAAGCTTTCTGTGAGTTCTCATTTGTCTTTTGCCTTTAGTGCCTTTTGCTATACAGAAATTTGTGACTTTTTTTTTGGTAGTTAAAATTTTACTTTTCCGTAAGTTTGTCATATCTAGAAAGTGTGTCCCACCTCCAAGACTATTGTAAAAATCTGAGTGTTTTCTTCAGCACTTTCATTGAATTTTTAAAACTTAATCTTTACATCACTTGATATTATTAAGTTTTGAAATAGAGAAACTGTTGTCCTTACGTGACTCTCCTGTTTTTTGTTTTAAGTTTTTTCCCATGCTAGGGATTGAACCAACAGCCCCACACATGCTAAACATGTGCGCTATCCCCGAGCTACGTCCTAACCCCATCCAGTTATGTTAGTAACAGACTTTGAGCAACCCACCTTTCTCACTAATGATTAGAAATACCACCTTTATCATAGGTCATGTTCCCACATATAATATTTGGCCTTGTTTTGTTCCATTGATCTCTCTGTCAAATCAAATGCCAGTATGTTCTGCTCTTACTATTAATATTATCCTAGCTCTCTTTATTGTCCTGTTGGATTAAACTGGTCCCCCTTCATCAGTGTATTTGATTTGTCTTGGCTTACTTTTCTGTAAGAACTTGCAATTGGCTTGGATCGCCCTCCTCCTCCCCTTAGCAGTTACACTGCACTGGGTAAGGTCTGGGTAGAGCTTTCCGCCAATCCCCGCGTAAGTATCTGACGCTCCCGCACTAGGACATACCTTTGGCAGCACCACACACATCCAGCCTTAGAGGAAGAAGTGTCTGCTGAGTTGCTTAATTCAGGGAGCCATGTGGGGTCCTCGCTGGGGAGCTGTGTCCTCCCCTCCTGGGCAGGAGCCGATCCTCCTCGCTGCTTCAGAAGGTCCTGACCGGCTTCCTGGCCTCGGAGGGAGGGGACACCTGTACCTAGGTGGATGGTGCTGTGCAGAACCCACCTGTCCCAGCTGTGAAGCAGTCACACCCAGTTGCACACATGCGCACAACAGAGGACTCCACCTGGCACATTTTTCTTTTTTTATTGGTATCGGGAATCGAACTCTGGTCCTTCCGCTTTTGGGGCAGGCAGCAGAAGCACTGAGCTAAATTCCCGGCCCCTGGCACATTTCTCTTAATCTGCTGAGATTTGTTTTGTTCTGTTTGGGTGGTACTGGGAATTAAATCCAGGGTCTTCACACTGAGCTGTATACCTAACCTTTATTGAGATAGAGTCTTACTCTGTTGCCCAGGCGGGACCCTTTAAGTAGGGACTCTCCTGCCTCAGCCTCCCAGAGTGCTGGGGTTACAGGAATATGCCACCATGCCCAGCTAACCTGGTAAGTTTTGCATCTGTTCTGTTATCATGTTAATCAAGAGAGAATTCATTGTTGTTTCCCAGAGACATTAACCAAAATAGAGTCCTGTAGCACCAAAGACCAATAAATACTATTAGGAAAGAACAGAACATCTATGTAAATAGGGAAGGGTGGAGGAGGTGAAGGGCACACAGGTAATGGGGAAAAAAAATAAGAACCAAGATACATCATGTACAGGTACAACACCCAATGATAAATGTAAATGAATTATATAGCTAAAATGTACCAATAAAAGAATTAAAAAAACAAAAACAGAAAAAGCTTGCTTACTCACATAGAACTGGTGTAGTCATACATAGAATATCTTGGACATTTTTATTGGTTATGGATAAAACCAGGGAAGACATTGTACAAGTGGTAGCATGCAGTGGTGGCGGGGAGAACTAAAATGATTGTGGAGAATGGCAGTCATTTGAGGATAGGTGAGAACCGGGTTTTTTTGTTGTTTTTTAGTACCGGGGATCGAACTCGGGTCCTCACACCTGTGCAGCAGGTGGCGAAACCAGTGAGCTAAATCCCCAGCCCCAGTTTTTTTTTTAATTGAGGAAATTATGACATTGTTCAGAAAATTTTACACATTTATAATTGTTGTAAAGTTGAACTGCTGAAACTTTTCAGTAAAACATTCTGACTGAACTGAGGATGGTGTCTCTTAGAAGAAGGCTTTGGAAAAATAGCATTACATTTTACAGTGTTATGAATGGTATTTTAATTCTGTGATGATAGCACAGCTGGAATATACGAAATAGACTGAAGACAACAGCATGTGCTGAACAAAGGTCAGCAGATGTCTAGCTTTTTACTTCAAAAGACAACACAAACTAAGAAATGTTTAGAAAAATAGGGGGGTTAAGAAAAACAGATGCTTGAAGGTTTATCCACCCCTTAGCAGGGGTTAGGAGGAAGTTAGCGTGTCCTCCCATCTCCTGCTGCCTTCATAAAGCAGGCCAAGGACCTGTGCTGCCGAAAGTCTCATTCTTTCTGTGTGATTTACTTTCTCCTTTTCTTCACCCCTGGCCTTTTGGAAGTGATACCTTCCTAACACCTCTTAGGGTAGAAAAGCTTTGCTTTATTTTGTTTGAATGTTCTCTCATTTACACCTTCATAACCTCAGCATATTTCCATTATTCTTGTGTGTTGCTCCCTCTTCACTGCTGTGATCTTTCCAACTGTCGCTGCAGAATTTCACAGGATAGATCTAGCTCTGTTTGGTTTAGACCGCTCTTTCTTTACCCTTCCTCAATAAAGGACAGAGATTTTTAGCAAAAAAAGCTGAAAAATCAGCTTCTGTGCTGAGTAAATATGAGTGTACTTTTATTTGAAATTCTAAGGGCTTTATGAATGATTTTAGTCACAGAACTTTTACAACGAAAAGACGAGCCTGGCGTGGTGACGCACACCTCTAATCCCAGCACTCAGGAGGCTGAGGCAGGAGGATTTCAAGTTTGAGGGCAGACTGGGTTACATAGTAAGTTCAAGGCCAGCCTGAACTACGTAGTGAAACCCTGTCTCAACAACAACAAAAAAATTGGAATTCTGTTAGAGCTCTGTATGTTTCTAAATGTTTTAAGTAATTCAGGGAAAAGAATTTGATAATCTGAAGTTGTTGCACTGGAATTTCACAGGCCTATATCTAATTTACAAGGCACTAACAATTTTTAAAATTTTGTTTTGTTTTGTTTTGTTTTTAGTACCAGGAATTGAACTTGGGACCTTGCGCTTGCACAGCAGGCGGCGAAACCACTGAGCTAAATCCCTGGCCCTTTTTTTTTTTTTTTTTTTTTTTGTGCTGGGGATCACACTCGGGACCTTGCACTTGCGAGGCAGGCGCCGGAACCACTGAGCTAAATCCCTGGGCGCTGGCCCTTTTTTAAATTTTTAAAAATTAACCTTTTTTTTTTTTGAGACAGGATCTTGCTTTTTAGTGTACGCTGGCCTTGAACTCACTATGTAGCCCAGGATGGCCTCAAACTCGCAGCGATCCTGCCTCGGCTTCCCAAGTGCTGGGATCATAGGCATGTGCCACTGCACCTGGCTTAAAAATAACTTTTATCTGAATTCTCTTTATATACTTTTGTTTGTTTTGAGGAGGACTAAAACTTGAGTATCAAAATGAAACTGAGCATTTTTGTGTGAAACGTTGGTTTTCTTGAATGTGCATATCCTACTTATTCACGATAGATCCCATAGAGTGTAAAACGTAGTAGTATGTGGAAGGCATGATGTGCTTACTGCTATGATTGCAGTAAGATGCTATTTGAAATAATAATTAATGATTTTTTTTCTCATAGCCATGTCTGGTGAGAACAGAGAAAATACACTATTTTATTCTGAAATTCCTAAAACCATTAATAAAGCAGCAGTCTTAATGCTTTCTTGGAAGCCTCTTTTGGATCTTTTTCAGGTAAGACTGAATATTGTTATTCCCATGATGTGTGTGCTTTCAGGTACTACCTGTACATTTATTTATAGGGAGAAATGCAATGGGCTTTTTATATTTACAGTAGATATACATCAAAATTTTGAGATTTTATGTGTCACTCTCATTCCATTTAATTCTCAACATCTGAAACTAAAAGATACTATAATTTAATTTTTTAAACTGCCTTTTCCTTCCATAAACTTTATAGTAATGTAGTTCTCACAATTTTTGGAAGGAAATGTCATAAAATAACTCATATATATTTCTAGGAAGGCTTTTAAGTCTTTAAATTGAATTTGTAGGGCCAGGGATTTAGCTCAGCAGTTCCGCCGCCTGCCTTGCAAGCTCAAGGACCCAAATTCTATCCCCAGTACCAAAAAAAAAAAGATTAGTGTAAATTGAATTTGTAGTTGTAATGCTTAGTAACAGCACGAACTTAAATAAAAATACTAAGTTCCATTTTTGCTGCTAAAAATACAATTCAGTGTATGAAAGTTCAAAACAAGGGTTTTTTGGTTGTTTCCATTCAACATTTTACCTTTAGACAAAAAAATAATTGAAAAGATCTCAAGGACAATGTAGTGGTTTGGGTGCAATTGTTTGCATTTTTGCTTTTCATTTACAATTTTTTATTAGGTATTTCCTTGTTGAATAACACATTTATGCTAGAATATGATATTTCTCTTAAGAATTTTCAAACAATAACTTCCATGACAACTGTTTTGGTTACAACTGTTTATCTCAGGTGTTGTTTTTTTACGTAGGCTGTGACTTTAAAAAAAAGTTCTTTGAGCTTGGAGCTGCAGCTTAGTGGGAAAGGGATGATCCCCAACCTTTTTGGCACCAGGGCTGCATGAGGTGGAGGGAGATGGTTTTGAGATAATTCAAGCATATTACATTTATTGTGCATTTTATTTCTAATATTATTGTATTCTAATATGTAATGAAATAATTGTACAACTCAGTAGAATAAAGAATCAGTGGAAGCTCTGAACTTGTTTTCCTGCAACTGGACAGTTGCATCTGGAGGTTATGGCAGCCAGTGACACCCAAAGTGTATTGTTGGTGTCCAGTCTTCTCTGTAATCTCATTTTGGTTGCTGTCACAGCAGAAAACCTACTTGACAGGGATAGGATATTGGAAATGGAAGCAGGCTTTTCAATACTTCTTTGGCAATCTCAGGATATGTCCTGCCTTGACTTTCACCTACAACATATGCAGATTTGAAGTTGTCTAAAACATAGTTTTAAGGCTATTGTCATTTGCAGTCTCAAGCAGTTGATCCTCTTCTGCCATGGGAAAAGTTGATTCATCTGGCTTATTCACCAGCAAGTTGTGGATCCATTGCTTCCCAGTATGGGTGGCTTTTATGGTTGGAAAGTAGTGCTCAAACTCTTGACTGCTGAGATAGGTGGTCATGCACCAGCTGGGAGAAGGAAGACCCTGGCTCAGTCTCTTTCAAAATCTCTGTTGGGGCTGGGGGATTTAGTTCAGTGGTGCTGCACCTGCCTCGTAAGCATAAGGTCCTGAGTTTGATCCCTGGTACCAGAAAAAAAAAAAAATCTCAGTTAATGTTTGAAGCAACAAAAATCCCAATGTTCGCTCACCACTCCCATATTCCAGCTTTGCTTTGAATGCACCCAGTTTATCTGGTCAGTTGAACACAGTTGCTGTTCTCACTGAAGTGACTGAGTTTGTTGGGCAGGATGAATATATCACACAAATAAGCAAATTTTATGACGCATTTTCTGTCACTGAAATGTGCTGCTAGTGGTAACTCCTTTTCTAAAAGAAATCTCCAGAGCAGTTCTCAAAACTCAGAAAACTCTGGCCAGTGATCTACCTTTAGAAAGCCATCTCACTTCTGTGTATAACAGAAGATGTGTGTGCTCTGTGCCCATTCCTCCTCACAGAGCTACACGCACGGATGTGAGGTAAGGGCCTGTACTTTAATGGCATTAGCAATTTTAATCGCATCCTGCAAAACATTAAGTGTTGGTAACATTTTTTAGCTAGCCAGCATTTCTGTGAGTATTCACACTCAGAAGTGACCTCTGTGATATGTGTAGTGAAACTACAAAGCTGTCCAGCCATGGCAGCTGCTCCATCCATGAATATACTGATATAAAGTGACCAGTTTTCCTGATATATAATCATTTGAAGACTTGAATAGTTCTACAGCTGTCACGTTGATGGGCAACAAAAATGCACATAACGTATCCTCACCCACATGCCCCTGAAAAACAAAAACAAGCATTGTTGCTTTGTCAACATGAGCAGACTCATCAAGGGGCTGGGGATTTAGCTCAGTGGTTCTGCTGTCTGCTTCACAAATGCAAACTCAAGGTCCTGAGTTCAATCCCCAGTACCAAAAAAAAAAAAAAAAACAGACTCATCAGCCTGAATTGCATATCATGGTGACTCCTTAATCCTCTCTTGACAATTGTGCCTCAATATCTTGTGCTATGTTTTCTGTTCGTCTAGTTGTGGTGCTAGCTGAAAGAGGAACATGTGCCACCTTTTGAACTGCAGCATCTCCTAAAAACTCACAACAAGTGTCCTTAGCAGCAGGCAAGATCAACTCTTCATCAGTAGTAAAAACCCCTCAGAATTCAGTCAGTCACTAAGAATGGTCTCAGTACAGGCACATTTGATGAAGTGGTGGCCTTTAATAATTGCTTCTGTTCTTTGTATTCATGGTTTTTCTTTTGGAAAATTCCAAAGGCTTGTCTTTTAATGCAGGATGCTTGGTCTCCATATGGCAAAGCAGTTTTGAAGATTCTGTGGCTTCACTGGATAGCCATTTACCACATAGTTTACAAAGTGGGCTTGGAGAATGTGAGCCGTCTGTTGCAGTGAACCCATAATTTAAATAGAACTCTTGGTATTTTCTTTTAAATGAAGCTTCCTTTTTGTTGGCAGTCATAAGAGTCTTCTGCTGCCAGGTGTGGTGATGCACGCCTGTGATCCCAGCACTTGAGAGGCTGACACAGGAGGATTGCCATAAATTCAAGGCCAGCCTGGGCTACATAGTGAGTTCAAGGCCAGTTTGAACTACATAGCGAGACCCTGTCTCCAAAAAAAAGAGAGTCTTCTGTCTCATCACTGGGTCTTTCCTTTTCAAACAAGCTCTCCAGTGACCTTTCGTTTATACTCATTAGCTCTATGGGCTTACCAGAACTGTGGCTGAGGCAAGTGTGGATTGCAGGAAAGAGGTACAGATGAAAGTTGTAAATAAAATGATGGGTAGACCACATGTAGACTAAAATAAGTATCAGATTCTGACCTAAAGCCTGCTGCCAGATGCCCCTTAATTATTACTTGCCACTCACTGATAGGGTTTTCAGCCTGGAAGCAATTGATTTATTATTACCATCTCTCTGCAGTCAAACCTCTCTAATGTGAATCTGTATTTGCAGCCACTCCCGAGTGCTAGCATCACTGCCTCAACTCCACCTCAGATCATTAGGCATTAGATTATCTTATAAGGAGCACACAACCTATGTCCCTCATGTGCCTAGTTTCCAGTAGGATTCAAATTCCCTTGAGAATCTGATGGTGCCCCTAATCTGACAGGAGGTAGTAATTCAGTAATCCCAGCTATGGGGAGCAACTGTGAATATAGATGCTGCTGCTTACCTCCTGGCATGTGGCTTGGTTTCTGTCAAGGCATAGTCCAGGACCAGGGCTTGGAGACCCCTGCATTAGATCATATTGATTGTATTGTTCAGGTTTCTAGGTCCTTATTAATTTTCTACCTGTTCTACAGTTATTTAGGGAGGAATGTTAAAATCTCCAACCATAATTTTAGATTTGACTATTTCTCTTTGCAGTTTTATTAATTTTTGCTTTGTGTGTTTTGCAACACTGGAGATTGAACCCAGGGGCTCACACATGCTAGGCAAGCACTCTACCACTGAGCTCTATCTCCAGTTCTCTTTTTTTTCTAATTTTGAGACAGAGTCTTGCTCATTTGACCAAATTGTCCTCATACTTCTGATTTTCTTGTCTCAGCCTCTTGAGTAGCTGAGTTAGTGTATGCCATCACATCTGACTGCTTTATATGTTATGAAGCTATGTTATGAAGTGTATAAGTGAAGAGAATTAGTATGTCTTCCTGGTAAATTGATCCCTTTGTTATGAAATGACTACTTTTTTTTCTGGTAATAATCTTTGTTCTGAAATTTTCTTGCTATTAATACAGCTATTCCAGTTTTCTTTCGATTAGTGCCTGCCTGAAATATGCTTTCCATTTCCTTTTAACATCTTTATAGCGATGTAATTCACATACCATACTGTGTCTTTAGTATTTTCACAGTTTTGTAACCATTATCATAATCTAATTTTAGAACATGTTTGTTCTACCCAAAAGATATCCATTAGCAATTACTCCTCATCTAGCTCACCTTCTGTACTGCTTGCCTAGTTAACCACTGAACAGTTTTGGGTCTCTCAGTTTGCCTAGCCTGAACATTTTGCATCAATGAAATTATATGATAATAGTCCTTATGACTGGTTTCTTTCACTTAGCATAATATTTTCTAGATTTATCCACATTGTAGCAAGTAACAGTATTTCATTTTTTATTGTGACTGAATAATATATTCCGTTATATGGCTGTACCACATTTTGTTTATTCATCAGTTTATGGACATTTAGGTTATTTCAGCTTTGGAGGTATTATGAATGCTGCTTTTAACTATAGTGCACAAGTTTTTGTTTAAATTTATGTCTTCAGTTCTCTGGGGTATACATATAGAAATGAGATTGCTGGGTGATATGCTAATTCTGTGTTTTAATTTTCAAAGTCCCACCAAACTTTTCCACAGCACCTGTACCGTTTTACATCCCCATCAGCAGTGTATGAGGGTTCCACTTTCTCTCCATCCTCATTAACCTTTTTAAACGTTGGTAAACCTTACGGTGCATCATTTTGATTATAGCCATCCTAGTGGTGTAAAGTGGTACTTCATTGTCACATT